GATTCCGGCTGAAAAAGAATTTTTATTTTCGGTTGGAACTACATGGCAGATCGACTCTGTCAAACTGGATCGAAAAAAAAGTATATGGGACATAAGCTTAAGATTAACTTCTGATCAAGATACATCATCGATTGAACTATTAAGTCAAGTGAATGAACTAATTTCACGACCATGCACGCCATTAACATTAGCAAATGTTTTACTTGCTCTAGGAGAACATGATACTGCAAAGATATATTATAATGAAATGCTTAAGGGCCATCTAAATGAACAAGAGAAAGAAGATAGTTACATGGGTCTTGGAATACTCTGGTATGAAAAAAATGAATCGAACATAGCTTTAGAGTATTTTGAAAAAACACAAATACCACAAACATTTGCTCAATCTCCACACAATCTTTGTCAATTATCAATAAGTATCAATCAAGTAACCAATTATCCTAGAAATAATAATAGAACTCTTTCTATAAAATATTATGGTGAAATGAATAGTATTATTTTAATATGTTTATTAGGAAATGAAGATAATTCATCTATAAAGATTTTTAATAATATTGGAATTATGAATCATAAAAATGGTAGTTACGAAGAAGCAATGGAAAATTATATAAAAGCGCTTCAAACTATAAATGACTACGAAACAATACAAAACGAACCAGAATCTGCAGCTGTATTCAATAACATTGCCGGTATACATTATTGTAAAGGTGACTATGACTTAGCACTGATAAACTATAAACAAGCTATTACGATAGCTGATCATATGGTCTCAGGTATACACTCTTGGATTCGAGATTTTAAAAAAAATCAAGCTGTTGCTCAACGGCGTTACGTAATTAAGAACTATAGATAAAAATCTGGTATTTTGTTTTTATTTTGTTGTCATATTTATCTTTTGTGTTTGTTTCATGATCTATCTTTTATGTTCTCAAAAAATAAAATTTCCCTTACGCTTTTTAAGAAAAAAATAAAAACAGGGGAAATAAATAAATAAAAATGAAATTACAATTAAAACTAAAACTAATAGGGTTGATAAGAGCTCCGTTATACACGACCTCGCCCCCGTCCGCCGCACACAAGGGGTGAGAGTAAGATGGGCGAGCAGTAGCATGAGAGTGAGTCATCGAACAATAATGTAAAACCGATCCATCTCTAGACGATGCTTTGATCCGATGTTAAAATCTACGAAATGTCCTAAAATACTCATTCACTAGGATTACCATTTTTCAGAAATAAGATTCATCTTTGCAGAGTTTAGAATCCAAAAACCTTCATTAGTTTAAGTACTAGACAGGACAGATTGGGCTTAAACTAAAATATAGCTCTATTGTGTACAAAGCCCGATTTGCGAATTTCAGTATAGCTTTTAGTGAGAATAAGATTTCATTCAAACTTGAACGGATCTCTATAAAAGCTTTTCAAGCTGAAAATAAGAAAATTAGGCTCTATCAGCCTGTAACACTAGGCGATCCCTTCATTTTTAAAATAATCTGAATCCTCCAGCACTTAATTTGATAGAGATCGTCGAGAAGTTCTTCTTCGATAAAAACAGTCAGAAGTTTTCTAAATACCTTTGTACTCCATAATCAGTCTCAAGTGGTTCACTATAATCAAGTTCATTCAACATTTCACAAGCCTCTGTAGTAGATGATGAAGCTCGACCATACACAGTTATGATTTTAGGAATAGTTTGCTCTTCCATTTATAAAATTATTAATAGAGGAACTAAAACGACTAGAATTTTTAAACTGTTTAATAGCTTCACGAAAAGCTTTTTTGTCACTCAGTGGAGACGAAATTACTTTATTACACGTGCGTTCTTATTGAGAATGAACTAAATATTTTTGAAAGCTTTGAAGAAAAGATTAAATCGAATATTATTTCTCCATATCATCAATTTCTCAAAGTTAGTCATTTTTCCATTCGAAAGATCAAAGTTTGAGATTCACAAAATGTAGAAAAACCAAAAATGTTGCGGTAGAGCTTGAGTGAGAAAAAATTGAAATAACATCACCAAAGGAGCTCTTGTAACGTACTTGTTTTGTTAATTTTTCAGTACAGTCTGAAGAAAAACGCCTTGTTGAAAGCCAGACAGATGAGCATGTACCCGGATGGAAGACTCGTACTAGAAGTAAGAAGTAATATGATTCGTACTGTATGATCGTGTGATTACGATAGTACGATTTTGATTTAACTAATTTCAATGCAAACTGAAAAAGGGCTGGCACTGTGGAATCAAATAGATATAAGATGGATGAAATCAGAGTGCGGTGCATTAGGTAGAAACAGGAGTCATTACGTTTGTAGAACTGCGTTGAATAAGTAGAATACATCGAGTGTTTGCTAACACCCCTATGTCATAACGGGATAATCAAGAGGCAAGGTACGACGTGCAATCTTAACACCTTTTTCAGCGTGTTTAAAAGCTTCCTTCAAATTTTCCACTTTGAGAAGACACCATGCCCCATTCCGATGAGAGCTGGCAATGTTAACGTGTTTTAGAGGCAACAATCTCTGATTGATGCGCAGGGCAGTTTTTGTATAACTGAGGGTCGTGGAAAAGTCTTTTTGGACATCAAGAATGCTTCCCAGTTGATTACAGGTCAAAGCCAGATTAGGGTGAGTCGATGGATGATACTCGTGCTGACTTTTCAAAGCCTGTTCGAGACTCTGTCGTGCATCGTCAAAGCGACTCTGTTGTCAACGAAGACTAGCAGTATTCAGATGATGAGCCTCAATCATCTGTTGGTTGGGTTGCGGTACTTCTAGAAGCATTTCGAGATCTTTACACTTTCATCATTTGATTGAGATTTTGTTTGTAGTTGTCCATCATTTGCCATTGATTATGAAGAAAACCACCGATGTTCAGATGGCCGACGACCTGCTGATTAATTTCTGGGTATAAATCCGTCTTTTGGAGATTGAGCGCTTTCTCAAAAATGATTGAATGACTGATTTATCTTGCCTTGAATGCCGAAGATCATTACCAGATGATGGTGCACATAAAAAGTGCCTGTTTCGAGTGTTACTCCTAACTGAAAGAAAAAATTTACAGCGATTCATTTCAATTCTTCATCAAATCCGCAATGTGAACGATTCTGGTTATGTCGTTAGTGTGTCAGAATGTCGAGTTATCTTGCCCATAAGATAAATGGACATTTCGATGAACATGTAGGATTTGTTCTTTTCTTATTTCATTTCAACGTATATTCATTTGCAGATTAGAGCCCAGCGGTGGCGACTTTTTTCCCTCCGAAAACCGACTCCGGTCCCGAAATTTTTCTTTTTCTAACTCCGGCACCGGCACGGATTCCTTAAAAAAAAGGGCCCTATTGCAGATAGATAGAAAGTTTATCACAATTGAGAAGGTCAAAATGAAAGAAAATTAAAATCAGTGTTTCTGATGTTTAAAGTTGAAATATAGTATTGAAAACCTGCTGCTGGAAACTGTCAGGAAGTCGACGAAAACCTCATGGTGCGCAACGCATTGTCTATTTAAAATAAGAATGATCTCCATCATTCTTCGAATAACTTTTGCTAAATTTGCGTATACATTTCGAGGATCCGAACGATACTCGTATACTGAATAAAAAACATCAATAATAATTGCAGTTTTGAGAGTAAAACTATTAGTCGATATGGACTAGATATATAATAGAGTTAAAGTTAGATATTTTAGCTCCGTATTTTAATTTTATTTTAACTTTAAATTTAACAAAACAAAAAACGTTTCAACCTCTTTTAATTGAGGCTTTCTTCAGCGTACGTAATAAAATACATACAAATATAAAATATAGTTAAAATTCTATTGCATACAACTTGTGCAGATTTAAAATGTACTCTTTTACATAAAACGAAAATGTGGACAATGTAAACACGGTGAAAAGGCGTTTTAAAAAGGTGCATTCGATAATTCCGTCTTTTCCTTACTTTGTTCGTTAAAGAGAAAATGTGTTGTGTGCGAATATACGAAAAAAGAATCAGAATTAAGAATTGTATTATCGAAGAGAATAAAAAAATACGGCTATTTTGCTGCGAAAATTATTTATAGCCAAATAGATAAAAATGTATGCAGATGATGTAAAATATACAGATTACAAAATTTTATATACAGAATATGTACACTAAGTCTGACAATAGCTTGTCTTCGAAAAAGGGACCTGTCTCTTTTTCGGAATTGTCACAAAGTTCAAGCTGCAGATGTAACGGTGTTGCCTGCTACAACAAGAAGCCAACAATCTACTTTTTGTATCCGGCGAGAGCATACAAATGATTTCTATACAAGTAATTGTAGCGTTTCTTTTTATCAATCTTCGTTTTATCTTTCGAATTCAATAAAATTGATATTTTATATCTACTGAATTTTGAACAAGTATACTAAATAACAGCAATGCTCGATACAAGCTATAGACGGATATTCTTTTTCTCCTTTTGTTCGTTCACCACGATAAAATACGAAAAGAGAAAATGGAAAGAAAAACATATATATTCAAAACGAAAAAAAAGAGAGAAAGCAATAAAAGGCGTTAGTTTCCACGAAAAACTAGTTTTTCATCTATTTCTCGAAAATTAGACTAGACACCAAAAAATAGAAGCCAGATTCGGAATCTACGTAAAAAACCGAATCAGAATATAAATACCGTTTTCTTCCAAACCGGACGCAAGTAGAATCGACCCGATTTGCTATGTGAAAGATAATTTAGAAAAAATACTTGATCAACAATTATAATGGAAGCCTTCCAAATTTATTATTGTTAATAGAGTTGTTTTTATATCATATAAAAACAACTCTATTAACAATAATAAATTTACTTTTAAAACAAATTGAATATCATCTCTTCCAACAGTCATCATTATCGCTAATAAGTGTGTGTAATTCACTTTGTGTGGAGAATCCATTATTAGTATTTTTAACAAACGATATTAAATGTGAAAATTATATGGCTATAGAATGAAATGAAGTAGAGAACTGCTGAGAAGATCATGATTCATTCAAATCACAGATTTATTTTCACAATATTTCGACAGTCACTGCTGCCATTTTCAAGTGAAAAGAGATAGAACTGTATATTGGCTT